TAGTAGACTAAAGTAGAAATACTAGAGCACTAGTAGTAGATAGAATAATAGCACTAAGCTAATACTAATTATAGGTGCGTAAGTAGGTAGTAGGGGTAAGTAGAGCAATAGCGTTATTAGTTTAAGCCCTTAATATAAGATCCTTAAAATAATAGTAGAGCTAGTAGAACTATAGCATAAACTAGTAATAGGTGCCTTTAGTAGGTTTCCCTATAAAAGTGCTAAGGGTCCCTTTCTTTATAATATAGAGGCAATCCTCCTAGTAACTATAATAAAACTAAAGCTAGTTGCGGAGGGCTTAGCAAATATTAGGATTATTAGTAAGGATAGCTTCTAATTAAGTATAGGTCTTATAGCTATAATAGCAGGACTTGTATAAGCGCCCTAGATATAGTTAGAACTTGCTATAAAGAAAACAAAAATTAAGGGGAACTTACTACTACCTTCCTAATAGTTACACTTACTAAAGAGATAAAGCTAGTTAATATACTAATTATAGGGAAGTGGCTTTATAAAGCTACTATTATATTCCTTATTATCTAAGTTACTAGAAATAATAAAGCTACTAAGTAACTATATTTAGGGAGATGTGTGCTAAGTAGAAGTTAGTGCAGGAAATATAGGGAGAACATTAAAAGTACGCACGTTGTCTTAGTGGGCCTAGCGCGGGGTCTAACTACCTTATAGTAGTTCCCTACTACTAGCACTAGTAGTAGTAGATAGAGATATAATAGAGGCTATATAGGCTAGATTAATAGAAAAAGAGTAGAGATAAGACTAATTAGCTAGGAAAATCTGCTGTGTAACAAAGTAAGTTTAGGAAATTTATAGTAGGGTAGGATAGCTATATTAGAACTTTTATAGTAGGGTGCTAAAATAAGTGTATAGACGCCACGTACGCGTACTACTTAATATACGGGCCTATTATAAATTAGGAAGGAATACAAAGATATAATAACAAAACTAAAAAATATAGTAATAAAGCCTAATATAGATTATAGAGGATAAAGATATAACCCTAGACCCCTAGAAAGACGATTTCACGATAGCTTATAGGGGAAGGTTAGAGGTATGTAAAGGGCTTAGGCTTATGCCTAAGCCTAGGTCTAACACAAGATAGACCAAGTCTAACACTACTACTAAGCGAACACACTAGACACCTATAAAAAGGCGTAGAGGGCTTACCTCTCCTTTAAGATACTAAATACTATTATTAACGCTTATTGCATTCTCCCTTGAGGCCAGTCCATAACACCTGCTAGCAATCCTAAGCTTAGCTTACTTCTATCCTAAGTACCCTCTAAAACTAGAGATAGACGCCTCTAATAGAGTTATTGTAGCTATCCTCTTATAGGAGCATCCTAATAGGAAATAGTACCCTATATCCTTCTTTAGTTAGACCCTTACTAGTTCTAAACTTAACTAGGAAATCTATAATAAAGAATTATTTATAATAATCTACGCCTTTAAGAAATAGCGTGCTAACCTAATAAGTACTTAGCACCTTATTAGAGTATACACAGATTATAGAGCACTAGAGTACTTTATGTCTACTAAAGTCCTTAGTACTAGGCAAGCTAGATAGCTAGAGGTTATAAGTCCCTTTAACTTCTAAATTAAGTATACTCCTAGATCTTATAACGCCTAAGCTAATATCCTAAGTAGAAGGGAATAGGATATATTTAACCTTAAGACTACTTAAAGGGATAATTACTTATAAGTAATAATTGCCCTAGATAGGTTACACCCCTAAATTAACTCTAACTTAGCGCAAGACTACCTAGCTAAGTGTTCCTTACTAATCCTTGCTTTAATTATAGTAGTTTAGAACCCTATAACTCTTAGATCCCTAGAACTTATTAAAACTCTTCTCTAAGAAAATAGGTCCTTATTCCTAATAGAAAGATTAGAGTTGCCTAAGCACTATTAGATAGAAAATAGACTCCTTCTCTACTAGGATTAACTTTGCGTGCCTACTAGATTAGTCCTATGTACTAGACTAATTTATAAGGCTTATAATTAAGTGTCTACTACCTACCTATTAGCTACTAAAACCTATTAGATTCTAGCCTAATATTACTACTAGAAAGGTATAGAGACTACCTATAAACGCTACGTTTAGAACTATATCCTATACAGGAGAGGGCACCTAAGATAGCACTAACTCCCTAGCATACTCTAGCCCCTTCCTATCCCTAGTCTACTAATACAACACTTGTGTATTAATTTTAAGGATTTTCCCTAAGATTAATATAGTTATAATTAGATTATAGTTATTATTAATCACCTATTAAAGCAAGCTATTACTATCCCTTGCTATAAAACTATAGACGCCTAAGGTATAGCTACCTTATTTGTTTAGTAGGTGTACTAATTTAGATATACTCTAGATACTATTATTTCTAATTAAGGCCCTTAGTTTGTATCTAGTTTCTAGTCTAAATTCTATTAGATTATAGGCACTAAAGTTAAGCTCTCTACTACCTACTATAAATAAACTAATAGATAAACTAAGATTATAAATAAGTATATTAATTAGAGACTAAGGCCTTTTGTATCCTATTACTAAGATAACTAGAGCGACTTACTACCTATAATAGACTATGCCTAAAGTACTCTCCTATATTTATCTATTAGTATAGCCCTATATTAGCTCCTCTTTAGTTCCTTACTAAAGTAAAGTTAGTATTAGAAACTAGAAAAGACCCTATCTACTATACTAGAGAAACTAAACTATAAGGACGCCTTATCCCTTGCTACTTAGATATATAACGCCTAGAAGATTACTAAAGAAAATATAGAAAGAGCTTAAGACTAAATACGCTCTACTACTAATTACTATTACTATCTAGTTAACTAGAAGGTTAGTAACTATATTTATCTATCTACTACTAATCTTACTATTTTATAACCTAGCTAAAAACTATCTAAATAATAGGAAGGTCCCTTTAAGGTATTAGAATAAGTAGGAAACGCGTATTACCTCTAATTACTACCTAGTTCTAAGATCTATAACGTTTTCTCTCCTAATATACTATACAAAGATCCCTAAGACCTATTGCCTAGACAAGAGGCTCTAAAACCCCCTAGTACCCCTATACAAGGTGTAGAGGAATAGGAGGTGGAAGAAATCCCTAGGCTAGCAAAATTATTATTAATTCTAAGCTAAAATATAAGGTTAAGTAGGTTAGATATAATCCTAATCCTATTTAGTATCCTACCTCTAACTTTATAGGTGCTCCCTATTAAATTACAGGTATTCTACTAATAGTATCTAAATTAGCTAGGTCCCCTACACAGCTTACTAAAATAGATTTAAGCCTAGGAAAAAGGCAAAGAGGATCTAATATTACTTTATAATAATTATACCTAATATTAGAACTAATTTATATCCTATTTAGCTATATATTACCTATTAACTACTATCTATTACTATTATTCTTATTGCTATTTATTATTATATCCTATTTAGATCCTTTAAGGTTCCTAGGATACTACCCCTAGGAAACCTCTTTATTCTATATCTATCTCTCTATTAGAACCTAGTTTAGACTCTGTATTAGCTAAGATAGCACCTAGACTATCCTTCTTTGCTAGCTTCTAGATAACTAGTGCAGCAGGGATTAGAGCAGGTGCAGGAGTAGGGACAGGAGCTAGGACTAATTTAGATTCCTTCTTATAAAACGCCTTTATCTTAGCCTATACTAAAAAGGTTACCTCTTAATTTAGCGCTAATTCCTCCTTAAGTTCTTTAATAGCCCTTATTAAGCCCCTAACTACTAAGACTATCTTATAGATACTATTCTAAAGCTAATATAAATTAGATATAGTAGTATAATATATAGCTATAAGGATCTTAGTAGCTTTTATACCCTTAGTCTAAGTATTAGTAATAGTAACGCACTTAGTAAGGTTTTAGGTAGTTTCTTAAATAGTAGCCTTAAACTACTTAATATCCTTCTAATAAGTAACTATAGCCTTGTTATCCTTATCCCCTTTAGTAGGGTTTCCTATTAAGCTATAGTACTCTTCTAGGGCACCCCTAAGGGCAGAGTACTCTTAGCTAATAAAAGAAGGAATCTGCTAGGATTAGTAAAGGAACCCTATTAGACTTAGATACTTACTAGATTATAATACTTATTCTAGGAGATATAGTACTAGCACTTCTTAGAATTCTTTAACTTAAAATTAAAATTATTAAACCTGCCCCTAGCTAGAGCCCTAACTGCTCTTATATAGAGAGCGCGATAAGCAATAGGGAAGACTCCTAGTAGTACTAGTACTAGTATAGCTAAAGGTTCTAATTTAGATTAGTAACTATTTAATTATATAGATTAAATACTTACTAGATTTTAGATAGATTAGGTTAAATATTTAAAAAATTAGGGATATAGGAATAAGAAAGTTAGTAGGTAAAGGGCTAGTTATATATAGGCTAGGGATAGGGGTCTGTGCCCTAGGAAGAAGAAGTAAAGGTAAAGGCAGAGGTAAAGGTAGAATTATTTTGCAAAAAGCTCTTCTTTAATAAGGGATCTAAACCTAATCCTAAGGATAGGGACTATCCTTTCTCTATAGAAGGGGGTAGTGTAATAATAAGGTAGAATTGCCTGCCTATTATTCTATACTAAGTTAGGCCTAATAAAGGCCTAACTTACTAATATATATAGAGAATAGCTTACCTATAGTTAGGATAGGCATATTCTTCTTGTCCTTTTATACAAGACCTATCAGTTTAGGAATCTTATCCGTTTCTCAATAGACGCGCACTCCTATATGCCTTTGAGTTGTATTGGATACCTTTTGGATGCCCCACCTACCCAAGTCCTTACAACTACCACCTCTATCACCACCCCTACCACCTCTATCACTACCTCTACCACCACCTCTACCACCACCTCTACCACCTCTATCACCACCTCTACCACCACCTCTACCACCACCTCTATTACCACCTCTATTATCACCACCTCCTATTAGTAAAAATATCATAACTTATTATTATGTCATATGTACGTATAGCGTAAAGCTAATCTTCTCTACCCCTTTTAGTCTTAGTTAGGTATTATAGCGTATAATAGAAATAAAACTACTTTTATGCTTAATTTAAACCCCTACTATAAAGTAAACTACTACTTTAATAAAAGTAAACTACTACTTTAAACCTATTTATAGGTATACACAAGGTTAGTTTACACCTATATAGTAAACCCCTAGTGTACCATTCTACAGTAAACAATTTTTTACCGTAGTGATAGCGATACCGGTATCCTTTCCGACGTCGGCTTCCTCGCAAGATAGTCGGCAAATATACAACTAGGATGAAGAGTGGGATAGCGGAAATGGGGGGATGGGATCATATAAGCGAAGGATTGCTCTAGGTGTGAAGCCTGCTACTCCTAGCTGAGGTCTGCGAACCAAAGATGCTGCCAACATTTTGCACATTCGCACTCTGTGCAGTTCCACCCTTACGATCTGCAACTGCCTCGCCGATCCATACACATTATCCCCACGCCTTTCCAGACACGGCACAATGGCCATTGGCCAGAGTCGGGAAAGCACTGGAGCAACAGCTCCCCGGTGAAGATCTCCAAGCCATCATCTCGGAAATATCACAGGCAAACATCGAAGCCACCATCCGGAAGCTCGCATCCTTTGGCACGCGCCACACGCTGTCTAGCCAGACTGACCCCGAACGAGGCATTGGCGCAGCAAGAACATGGCTGACTGCAAAGTTCCAAGAGGCAGCAGATGCGAGCGAAGGAAGGATGACGGTTGATTGGAATAGTTTCATCAAATATCCTGGCGACAACGAGCGTATCATCTTTCCCGTCAACATAACGACTGTCGTGGCTACACTGAAAGGAAGCGAGGACCCAGAGCGGCTCTATGTTACAGGAGGTCATTATGATTCCAGAAACAGTAATCCCATTGACTATCAGGGTGATGCTCCGGGCGCTGTCGATGAGTGGGTTGAGAGCGCCGTGATAGCATCCAAAACGCATGCTTACAGGTTTCCAGTGCTTCTGGCGTCGCAGTCTCTCTCGAACTCGCACGCATCTTTGCTAGGTACAGGCCCAAAGCCTCCATTGCCTTCACCGCTTTTGCAGGGGAAGAGCAAGGCCTTCTCGGTGCAGAGCACCTGGCCCAAACCTACAAGAACAATTCAGCCAACGTCGCTGGAATGATCAACCTCGACATGGTAGGCAAGTACGTAATAGATTTATTCTCGGTTGCAGATTCTAGTGCTAATCTCATGCAAGTTCAAAGGCCGAAGATGGTACGTCTGACCCGAATAACATCAGACTGTTCTGCCAGGGCACTCCCCTGACCGAGGACGACACATCCGCCATCTCTCGTGTCAGCATTGGCGGCGAAAATGATAGCCCCGCGCGGAACTTGGGCCGACACATCTATGAAGTCGCCTCCAATGCCTTCACCGAAATGACAGTCCGTCTCGTATACCGTCTCGACCGCTACTCTCGCGGAGGTGACCACCGACCTTTTCTCGAAGCCGGGTACACCGGTGTACGCTTCGTCCAGCCCAACGAAGACTATACGCAACAGCACCAGAACGTCACTGTGCGCGCTGGCAAGCAATACGGCGACTTGGTGGAGTGGTTAGACTTTGAGTACAACACGCGCGCTGCAAAGGTCGTTGCAAGTACAATGTGGAGTCTTGCCAATGCGCCTGATATTCCCCGAAATGTCGGTAGCAATGTCACTACTAGCGACAATTTTAGTCAGTTCAAGTGGGAGGCGCCGGTAGGACTACCGCCCGAGGGGTATGAGATTGTGTATCGTGAGACGATTGAGCCGCATTGGACGAGTGTGATTGAGGTGGGCAATGTGCAGTGGTACAATCTGACAAGTGCAACGATTCACAAAGATAACGTGATATTCGGGGTCAGGAGCGTGGGAGCTGGAGGGTACAGAAGTCCTGCGGTATTGCCGTTCCCGTTCGGGTGCACAAGGAACTGCTAGAAGATGCTGGATAAACACTAAGCAGAAGATGAATGAAGCCAATCAGCCTACTTCATTCGACCATAATAGAAAAGGCGGTCAAGTCATCGACATGTCGGAAGGATCTCCAGAATGGTCAAGTCATCAAAATTGCGGAACGGTCTCCAGAATTCCCCAAAAAGCATAGCGACGTCGGTGACTGCGCCGCTAGTCGAATTATCACACCGAATGTCAGATGTAAGAAACCCGATTTCACATGTCATCCTACAAATGTCAAACCCACCATAGGGATTAGACTATTTCACCCAAGAAACCACAGATTGTCATTCGGAAACCATCCCTTATCGAGGGTTGCCAGACATGGATGATCTTCGAGTATCAAAATTGCAACCACAGCCCTGTAGGCAGACAAGCAGTTTCGTCTAACCACTAGCCTCCCACCTAGCCACAGAGTACCTGCATCTGCAAAACTATAAGTCTATTCGGTCTCTTCGCACCGATAAGCAGCTACTGGTACCGAAGGAGGGAATGCATGCTCGAATCTCGATAAGTATGCCCGCCGTCCAAAACTAGTGAAGAAGGTTTTTATACGACTCGTACAGTGCTCCTTTGTCATCGTACTAGGATCAAGTTAACAAACTGCTAACAAGTGTTTCGTCGCACGGAGACCGAGGCACTAGACACGACGCTAGTAGGGAACGTGTGGCTTACTGTGTATACGAATGGTGGGTACGACAGCTCACTTCTCGTGTAAGACGCAGGAGAATGGATAATGAATAGGGTAAAGAATACATGGGCGGTATTGTGGCGTAGTCCTGTGGGCGTGTATGTGCCAGGCGCCAATCGTACGTAGTATACAGAGTTACGTTAGTCGCCGAAGACCTGGAGCCAAACGAACACTACTCCAATGGCGGCGCTACGCAACCAACTCCGAAACCAAGGATGCGCACATCCGCGGTAATTGCAAGAATTAGAGTTGGTTGCCCGATCAAGTGCCGTTCATGGCTTCACGACCCGAGGAACGCCCCGCACCGTCTCCTCTCGGTAATATGGTACCGTGGAGAGTACTCCCATTTCGGGGCGCAAAGCCGTATGTCGTATGTGAAGATCCTACTGTGGGGCATCTACGAGTTTGGATCAGCGGAGGTCGAAACACGCGAGAGTGTTTTCTTTTCCTGCATCTGTATCATGGACGCCACAATACGCTCAAGCTTCGATGCGCAGATGTTGGATGCTTGTAGTCTCGGTTGATCAACCCCAGAACCAGAATCTGATATCCGAGCCGCAACTATGTCTATACAAAGCAGTAAACTTTGCATTCCTGTCTCAGGTTCACACAATCACCGCGGGCAGTTTCTAGCGTTAGACATCAAGTCGAGCAAGATCTTGGACTGGGTTGTATGTCTCAGTTACGGGGACTACAGGATGACGTCGGTTTGGTGAAGGGGCATTAGGGCTGAGCGTTGCGTCGTTCAAACCTTCACATAGATTACCTAGCTGGTTCCTGACTAATCGTCTCTTCCGCGTAACTTCAAACATAAATGTGCCAAGAATGGGAGGCGAGATTGCCCGACTGCTCAGGGACAAGCGACGATGTACGATGGAAGTACAAGCGAGAGCTATGCGGTGGAGGCAAGACAGCTCAGCCCGTTGGTGTGCACGAACGGTGTTCACACAGGTCCCAGAAGCCCTCTTAGCGGGAGGACTACGAGCCGTCTTGTGTGGAAGAAGGTTTGCGACACCATCTCCACAGTGATGGGTTGTCTTTGTGTTCGTGGCGTTTATGCAGGTATACAACGCGAGGTGTTGGGTTGCTGTGTCCCAAGGTTCAGGTCCGCCGTGCCGTAGGCTGATCGAGGTCAAGATTAGGTTTCGCACATCGTATTATGCGCATGGTCCAGATCTTGAGATGTGTCGCGCCACTGTCTGGGCTCCACATCGAAATAGGGTTTAGCTCTGTGCACTGTGGCGGATTCCGGAAGAGGAATATGGTTCGTGAATGGTACGATGCTTGCAATGATGTACGATGAATGTATTCGATTGTGAGGTATCAGGCCATGCTATCATTCATACCAGGGACTTGCTCGAGAGCAGATGATCCGTACCAAGCCACAGCGGGGAGGGATTGAGGTGTTCTCTGCTTGGCACAATGTAGCCGATTACAGGCTGGCGTAGAGCATGTGCAAGCGGTCTTTAGAGATACACCGATCTTGATGTGGGCAATGAAGCATACCATTCCATCGATGCAGGGTCATCAAGGATGGAGTGAGTATTGATATTCCTGGCTCCAGTCATTTGCAGTCTGCAGACACACTTATCGGCTTGCTGCCAAATCGAGGAAGAGAATGTTCATACTCATATCTTACATGTATATATACTAGTACAGTGCCGTGAGCCTGGGAACTTACAGAATAGTCATCCAACGACCGTTTGTTCAGCATCACCTTGATTTGATGGAACTAGGGGTCCTCTTGATTTATCTTTGAGCAATCAACTTGAGGGTTGTTACGGGGCAGTTTTCTTTGGCTTCTTCTTGCCAATGTTGTATCCCCATCCTCTGAGTGTCTTGACGACTTTGGGAAGGACGGCCGCGGTCAATGGTACTCGGATGAAGATCAAGGACTTGTGTACTAAGTATGCCAGACCGAGCTGGGTCCAAATCGCTAGAATAGTGTTAACCATGACAGCTATACACATGTGAAAAAGACAACTTCTTACAAGCATCTGCGTTGGTCGGACGCACAAGGACACCGTCAGCGTTGACGTAGCCCTCTCTTGCACTGGCCTCGGCGGCCTTCTCCGCCTCCTTGGCAGCGATTTCTTCTGGCGTTTTTCTGCCTGCATTGGGAAATGCGAGTCGTACAACACTCCAGAATGCATTCTTGACTAAATCTTCGTAGTGTCCAATCCTCTCTGTGCCTAACAGCTGGACTGCCAGAAAGCAGACAGGGAAGTCAATGGCAGACAGGCCAAGATAGACGCCGACCGCAGTCCATCCGTACTCTTTGGATAGCTGCTTAAGACGCTGTGATATTGATAGTGCTGGTTCGGGGCTGCCTAGATGTGGCGTAGGGTCGACGTGATTCGACCTGGATTTGTCGCTTTTCCATCGTATGGACCGGAAGCGGCGGGCGAGAGCGGAGCACTGAAGGCGGAGGGGTAGAAGAGCGATGTGCGGGAGGCGCGGATGTCGGACTCTTGATCGAGTCAAAAGTTGCGTCGAGGTGAAGAAGTTGCGTAGCGAGGGTGTCGAGGGACGGGAAGCCGACTTTGCTGCGACAGGCCCGAGGAGAAACTGGTGACTATAGAGGCGTGCAAGGTGCGTCTTCATTGGCAATCGTCGTTATATTATAGGCCAGACCCGGTCTATGATTGCTCACGTGCAGATGGACGACGGCTTGTCTTGAGCAATTCGGACAGCTAGGACTTGTTCTATGTCTGGAGTTGTCTTTCGAAAGTGCCTAGACGTCAAAGTGTTGAATGATGTGCCATGTCCATCATTGCCAAGGCCGACAATCTCAGGGTCCAGCTCGGCCGAATGAAATTCCACTCCCGAGGTCCCCATGACTTTTTTTACTTCTCCCACCCTTCCACAGAATTGGCTTTTCGCAACCGCAACGTTTGCAAACCATCTGGAAAACCTTCCCCGTGTTCTTACTCTCACCGATCCTTCCTGGGTTCAACTTCGGCAATCCTCATGGAACAGGCTTGCCATGGTGAATCGCATATTGCGTGGGCCTGCTGGCTGTTTGCTGGCTTCACCACGCTTGTCGGCTTGTTAGGTACCTACCGTACCTACGCCAACATGGACAATCTTTGTTCAGGACGAGAATGGCACGGGCGAGCTGTGGTGCTTGCTTGCTTGCTTGATTGAGGCATCGACAGCAGTTCACCGACAGTCGGTACCTGCCTTGGTCAATCTGATGGCAATGCTGCGTTCATGGCCCAAGGCCTGCCAGGAACCCAAAAGCTTGGCCAAAAGCAGCTGGCCTTCTTTCGATGGTCAGGCATATCTCGACTGCTTTTGCCCAAGTGGACGCCAATTTCCGGCTGTCGACGGGATCTGGGGGATTGGGGCTCGCACGCAGTGTGGCCCCACGATAGGTAGGTAGTGTGTGGCATGTGCCTGGGGCTTGGTGGTGCTAGGTGACGATCATCCACATTCTTCAACTCGGAATGTGAAGGCACGTACATGGAAATTACCGACGAAAGCGTTAGGCTGCCGCCGACCGTTAAGTGGAAGCGCTTCCTCGAAAAGTCTCGAAGCGGGCTCCCAGGTACACAGTAACATTGTCGGTTTGTCGCAGATTGCACACAGACAGGCATAGCCAGGCAACCAACCCCTGGTGGACAAGCCATATGGCAAGGCGGAACGTGGCTAGCATGCAATGATGCTCGGCACATGCTCAGTGTTTCCATTCGCTTGCAGCACATCAATCATACACTATGCCTACCCACATATGATCAGTACATGATGGCAGACTGTGTCTGAGCAACTGCCGTCTCGCGAGCCCAGGCCCCTGGTGGAAGCTTGGGCTGGAGTGCTACTCGGTGCTGTCCATGTAGCATCATGGCCAAGCTCTTGACGCCTGCACAGTGCTTGGACGATCGCATGCCGATGCTCCATGTACCACTCTCGGGCCAGTATGTATGACCTGTATTCTATAAGGTGAATTCTAAACTACGGGGCACAGCGCGTACTTTTGTCCTTGACCGTGCAGATCCAACTCTCTGTATGCGATCCAATTTACCGGTACCGATGGCGCGGTTTTGTGGAATAGGAGGACGCTCTGTCACAGAATTCTGCAGAGTGCTCCCATCCCAAGGTCAGCGATGATCCTCTGCATCTTGCACCTGTCATTCCTACTATAGCATACGTACACGCATGATGAGCAGCTAGGTTGGCTACATCCTCGTGCGCGGGTTCTGGGATACAGGGGCGGGGTCTGATCATGAGAGCTTGCATGGGATACCTGGGCGTCAAAGACACCCATTTTCCACAGACCTAGTCAGTTAGCAACATCATCCAAACGTCTCACATTAGCCGGATTCGACCTGACACGGTTCCACACAAGCTCCACCGCATTTGGGGTTCTCGACTCAAGCGCCTGGGTCCGTTGCCTGCAAGTCTGTTTCCCGGCAACGCGTGCTGCGCTTCCCTTCCCCGGTACACGTTCCACTGCCGAACCCCGGGAGCATCGACAATGATCATATCAAGTCCCCAGCAATTCTTGACTGCGTGGCACCAGAATATGCACACCTGCCCATCTACCATCAAACGGCTCGCTCTAGCTCTGTGCTATCTGACTAACGCATTCGAGAGCCATATTCAACACACGGCTCGGCGCCTGGGCGGGGCCAGGTGGAGGTTTGCACAGCGCAAACAAAGTTTTCGGCGTTCCAACAACCCTGTAACGGCACCAGTCTCAAACTTTGAACTATGGGTGACGAGTTGACGAGTGGAGGAGAGCTCAGAGCACCATCTCCCCAGCCTTAATTGCACTTTTTCACGACCGCGTCAATCCCTGATTGGCCCGCGATAGCGATCAAACTTCCACGCTCTGACGTTCCAAGGACATCGGCAGGGCTTGCTCAGAACGGAAGCGTCGTGCTTCCTACCTTGCAACTCGGCTGAAATCTAGAGTCTATCATCCTCCCCTGTGAAGCTTGAGCTCGGCGCCGTTTGTGACTCCCTGGCGAGCCAGGATTCTGGCCTCGCGCAGTAGTCGATAGGAGACTCTGCGCTGTGGTGTCACACCCATTCCTTCGCTTCACAATTTGACAGCGCCCAAAGCGGCACACTCCCGGAGCCAGCTGTTTGAGGCTTTCGACTAAGCTCCCCTACCGTACACAGTCGCATGAGTTCTTGCTCAGGATCAGTCGGTCCCTCCACGTGGATATGGTCTCTTACCCACATGCCCATTCGTGCGCACTTTGTATATATACTACCTGCCCACCCTAACTCCTGGTCTCGTGCACCCTGCCGAACTAGCCGTCATTCTCCCTGCGAACTATTCTCGAGAGAGCTTCGCCTTTCCTATCTCTTTCCACACTACTTCCATCTTTTGCTCCTGCCTCTCCTGATCAGCCACCTTATTCCCGCAAATTACACTGCATCCATCGACATGGGTGGAAACACCGAATATATAGCAGGCCATGGCTACCTCTCCCTCGCTCAAGCCGTCCATGTTGCTCAGAACAGTGAAGGAGGTGTTGATCAACGACTCGCCCAATACCTAGAAAGACGACTAGCCGACGTATGGTCCAAACTCAACGCTCAACCTCACACATACATACTCCCGTCAGACGAATTCGCCTTGATAAACTACTACCGGACACGCTTTGGTGACAACGAAATCGTCAGAACCGCTACAATGCGCTTCTGGGACAATCACAAAGGCCCTCAATAAGCACATTGCTCGTCGGGGTTAATTATTTTTGGGTTCACAAGGTACACAATGGCTCCTACTTTGTTTTGCGTTCGCACGTGCTGTTGAGCTGCAGACAGCAAACATACCTAATTTAGCGAGTCTTCTATTTTGGCGTTTAGCGACCTGCAACCTCTCCGGCCTTTCTCGCACGATACCTTTGATTACGGAGTCATCGGAGTTTCTTCGCGACAGAGCATTTCATTAGTCGGTCCGCCGTAAAGGGGCAAACGTTATATATTCATTGAGTAGCGAACGAGTTTTTGTCAAGCCTCAGTCGACGGGTTCACAGCAATGAAGATGGGCCAATTCCCCGAACCGGAGGCAGCTGCTAAAGCATCTTTACATTTTCTGACCATCTTGCTAATGTTGATCCCGCTTGCTCATACTACCGTCGCATCTCATATCGCTCAAAGAGACTTTGATAGCCACATGGATCCCTGGTCGAGCTTGGATGCGAACGACTCGTCTCCCTTAGAATGCCTGCAGGTCGCACCTCCAGTTTTGAGCCCAGCTGGGGGATGTCAGCAGACGCTGATGATCCACACTTTTGCTCAATCTTACGGACAGCCCTTCGTAGGCAAGTGATTTCATCCCACAGCATTTTGTGTGTCTTACGCAGTGTGTGATGCAGTAATATGATGCCATCCGTGGCAATGTGTTGGAAAGCTTCGCTAATTCCATTGCAGGCGAGTACAGTCCGCCTGCGTGCGGGTTCAATCGAATCACCATTAACTTCACCGTAACGTCTACAGGACGACAATTCGATAGACTCGCGCTGATGTATCTCGGCGACACCGAGGTTTTTCGTACATCAACTGCAGAGCCTACCAAGAATGGAATCATTTGGACCTATGTAAAAGACATGAGTGCTTATCTTTCCTTGTTCAGCTCGCCACAGAAAGTAATTTTCGATCTGGGAAACGCTGTCAATCAAAACTATACTGGCCTTTGGGATACCACGCTTACCGCAACGTTTTTCTCCGCCAAAGACGACATACACCCTGCTGATTTGATCGTCCCTGTTTCGGCTCGGCGATCCGCTGACAGCGCCGCAAGCGCGTTCATCATTCCTGAGACACGAGCAAGGAATACTTTCAGTCTCCCTCAAAACATGAAGAAAGCAGTATTTTCGGTATCAGCCTGTGGGCAAGCTGAAGAAGAGTTCTGGTGGGCCAATGTCCTTACTTCTGATCTCAATGCCTTTGGAAATGAAACTACGCTTTATGGTCACTCCGCGTTCAGAGAAATCCAAGTACTCATCGATGGACACTTGGCAGGCGTGGTGTGGCCTTTTCCCATCATTTTTACTGGGGGTGTTGTCCCCGGATTTTGGAGGCCCATTGTAGGAATTGACGCATTCGATCTCAAAGAGGATGAGATCGACATTACGCCCTTTATACCCATGTTAAGTGATGGCGAAGATCACTCGTTCGAGATCCTTGTCTTGGGCGTTGAAGACGATGGCTACAGTGATCCCACGGTACAAGCTGTTGTCGGAAGTAATTGGATAGTGACCGGCAAAATTTTTCTATGGCTGGACAGCGATTCTTCTACAGCATTTGGCAATCCTCCGATCATTTCAGCTCCTAAGCCCTCGATAAAACTACAATCAACGAGAAAATATGGCGCAAATGGAACAGTTAGCTCCTTAGACTACTCGATTGAGGTGAATCGCAACATATATATTGAGTCCACGATGGATATCCTGGCTGGTCCCGAGACCGTATACTGGAAACAAGATCTTGTCTTCGCAAACACCGCCACACTCAGCAATAAAGGCAACGACCAAATCGTAGAGCAAAGCACCAAAGGAACTGATACAGCGTCTTCAAGCTATGTCAGAACTTTCTCGTATCCCCTGCAAATCAACTCGTCATACAACGCTCCCGCTCACGGAAACGTGACTATTAACGGAAGCTTCGATAGGGCGAAGATCAGCCACCAGCTCAGCGATCTGGCTTTCCCCAATGACTATAAGACCTTTGACTATTACTATGCTCGCCCTGCTGTAGCATCGGTACCAAGGTTATCGGGCTCAAACGTCCACAATTGGCAGAAAGGCATGGCGAGGTATACTTCCGACCCTTCCGCGAACGTGAAGACGTCAGACAGTTTTGGTAGCACAGAACAGCGATGCACGTTGACAGGTGTTGGTGGTACCTCGATCGCCGTGGTCCAGGGTGATACAGGCGATGGTCGCACGACAAGTCTCGGCCAAACCGATGAGTTGTGGGAGAGGCACATGAAAGCCACCAATAGCACGATAGACTTCGATGAGCAGCGTTTCAGTGGTCAGGCTGAAGCGGAGAAATAGTGCCGTCGCATCCGTCTTTCGGTGAAACAATCGAGGCTGGTGGCTTGGTTGAATAACTCCAAGGAATGGGTGCGGGCACATTCGGGACAAGGGCCTTGGCAGGCAATCATCGGAATGGGGAGACAAGATGCAAAGGGCGGGCCTACCGGACGTATAGGCGGTGTGATACTATAGGTAACAGATATCGTGATGGTCGTGCTGTGCCACATTCATGTCAGACCGATTGAGCCAGCTACACATCACGTTGATCAGCCCCACACTGCTATTCTCCGTGATCTTACTGTTACACGTCTCCCCACATGACAGGGGCTTAACGTCTATGCAGCTGGTCAATCCAGTCCAGTTTCAGTTGAGAGTGTGGAGTCGTCAAAGGCGATGTGGTACAGCATAGCTGGACCTACCCAAATCTTCACTTCGACTTTCACGACATGTGTATCGTGGTAGCTGTCAGTCTACTTTCAGCAACTCGTTGACGCGTAGCAATGACGTGGCACAGCATCGAGACTCGTCAAAAGATGCCGCATCTGCAGCGAACTTTGCCGAACCCCTGAGCCGATGGTAAGCCTTATCTTCTTTACTGTAATGTACACCGTCAGCAAATCATCTTGTATGTCTGTTTGCTCCAACAAGCATACCCACGCACGCTTCCACGCTTCCATCACAGAGTATCAAGGTATTTTGAGGACTTCCAAAAACACTCTGTTTTGCTCACGTCTCTAAAAGAAAAGAAAAAGAAAAGGGGACGAACTTGTGGGATTTCAATCATCCGTCGGTTCCCCTCGCAAGTATGCTCTTTCACATGTGCCTGCCTGCACGATGGTCTTACCCCGCTCTATAGAGCGTGCAGTATAGTAACTATTCGAGTCGGCGGAAAGTCGAGGATCAATCTCAGTGATCTGCACATAGACGTTTCTCTCCGACGCAGCCCTCCCCTATCACGATCAATTCTGAGGGGCTTTTCTTCTTCTTTTGTGGACATGGATGTAGAGCACCCCATTGCTGATGCAAGCCTAGGTAATGTCATTTACTTTGCTAATAGTGCTATGGATGGAATTTCGGCGACGAGGTTGTCGAGCAATGGCGCCGGAGACCTGAGGACAAGGCAGAAGGACCGCCGGAGCGGGACCAAAGACTAACACAGCGTACTATGCCTCCACTTTGACCAGTATCAGGTGGGTGGGAAATCAGGGTACACATATTGTACTAGTAGTACAGGTGGTAAATCGGCTGGAGAAGATATCGAACGGTACCGGTATCGTGATCTTGGCAACTGCACCACCACACCACACACACGGCGCTTGGGTATGTCTACCTCTTGTGGGAATTTGTACATAGGTACCTACCTACGTGTCTAGGCCACACACCCACGAGCGCGCTTAATCAATCCATGCAACCCATCCATCCGCCTGTTCTTGGCTCCTTTTGCCGGTACTTTACCGGGCGTGCCGTTATCCGCTCGCGCATATAGGTAGCGGGAGATTTTCGCAACGATGCTGGCCGCGGCCTGCGGCGTTATTACATACCTACGGTAGTGGTGAAACTCGGCAAAAGTCAGGGGAAGAGGGGGAGGGGGAGAGGAACCACGGTCCCCAGACGTTGTTGATGCCTGAGGCCCAAGACGTGGAGTTGCGGGCGGCTGGCGAGTCATGGGGGGAGTGACGTGATGATTGATCATCCATCCAGTCTGTCGAGTTGGTGTCTTCGTGTCTTCGCCCTCTTTTCGCTCTGCCGCGCATGCTTGTCTCTCTGCTTCTTGTTCACAAGGTTTGATGGCGGGGTGAAGATGGGCCATGTGAGCTGCTTCCTACCTTGCCCAGCCTGTAGATCCCGCGTTTTGAGGAAAGGATATCTCCCCGAGACTTTGTTCATTAAGATTGAAGGCTCATCGGTCTTGACGTCTTTTCCGGACTACGGGCGTCAGCGACGGCTAGCATTGCTGGGTGGGTAGGCCTGAGAATGGCAGCAAGTGTCCATCTTGGATCTCGTGAGCACGCACTGCGTCCCTAGTCGTCGTTCGTCTGACATGGTGGTGGGCGTCCATGTGCCAGTCAGCCCTACAACCCAGTACGTAGGTGCAAGTCGGGGAAGCGAAGTCCTGGGTCGTCCCTGATTCTTGGTCTTTTCCGAGAGCCAGACTTTCTCGCTTGCTGATCCCATACCATGAATGGACTGGGGAACGGGCCCTACGGTATCGGTCTTGGACTGGAGGCCAAGTCTTTTGACATGCAATTGCTCGTACAGAAACTTTATTTGTGAACGCTGACTGATGCGGTGTCATACACTTGGCACGGCCGTTCATCTGCCGTTTTCGGTGCGATGTGGACGCGGCATTGAACCCTTTCGCTTGCATTCCACTGAATGCCTCCCTCGTGAGACGGAACATTGCGTTGGAGGTTTTCGGCGCATCTTCGAGAACATGGGGGCTGCTCTTGGCTGACAAGACAAGCGACGAAATCACCACAGGACAGGTCAGGGCGGCACGAACTACGGTAGGCCACGCCCATTAACTAAAATCGCTTCGAGGTTTGGGGAATTCCACCGAGTAGTAACCGCGTCAAGAAAAAAGACTCTTTGACGTGCATCCTCCCCTACCATGGCAGGACTTGCATGTTTCAACTGTCTCGTATCAAATCTCAAAATAGAGCAGTGTTGACTGCACATATTGTCACTCCCTGCACACTGGCCTTGTCGCTGTCGTCCTGGATTGGTCACGAGTACTGACAGGCCGAATTGCCCTTGCTATCAGTGGCTTTTCACGCTATTCCACTGACGATGGGGGCCCGTATTAGAAATCGCTCGTCTGTCTACTAGGTATGGTACCTATACCTACCTATATAACTGGTGTATATAGGAACACCCTAGTCCGATGGTATGTCTCGGATCTTTAGATGCTGATAGCCTCCGTGCGATAGCCAGCGCGATGTACTATTGATCGATATATCGATCTTATCTGGCATGCATGTGCTCTGACTTATTGAAGCTTCAAATCCTTCAAACAAAGTATGATGGTATGTACCGGTGTCAGAAGGCGGGAGAGTCGGCAGTGAAGACTGACTCGAGAGTGTGCTGTCATCGTATCTGTAGGCACATCGGTGATGACGTTGAAGAAACCGACCGAGTATTGGCATGTGTGAGGAGTTGAAAGAAGAGGCATTACATTTGTAGTCAGAGCTAGTCGTCTGGTTCCATAACTTGTCACGCCATAACGTGGGGCCCAGCGGTGAGTCCTGAACCTTGGGCCTGGCACACGGCTGTATCCATAGTGGTACCTCTGACTTGGGAAAACCCGGTCTCGTATTGCGGCATCTCCAAAGACATGGAGAACCATGAACTGTACTCGATAGAACTACTGTGTACAGAGGTTGCCAAAATTCTGCTCACCAGGGCGATGCATTATGGGAGACTTACCCAAGGTAGCATTGCGCCATGGCGACAGTGCGTACGCAGTGCATAGCCATACGACCGAGACACATGGTTAGCGGCTGGGTAGTCTTCAGGTATACCTACTCTATGGAGTAGATGTACACGTGGCTTCTACAAGATGTTATTAGATAGAGGTCTCTCCGCAATGCCTATAGTAGTATTCCTAACGCGAAGATGAGTATCTGCACAACATGGGATCCCGCACCCTGTTTCTTTACAAACCCACATCCATGACCAGTGTAGTTGGCAAGTAAAGCCACTTCAGCATACCTACATGTTCACGTGCGGCTACATATTTCCAAACGAACCGGCGGAATGCCCAGATATTTCCATAGTCCAAGGCAGGAGGATATCCGAGGGCTAGCTACCTACCACGGATAAGCACAACGGAAGGCTTTATCAAGTATAGGACAGAATTCGGGATGAGGCCAACATTACCAAAATCTGCCAACTGTTCGCTTGATGCGCAGTGCGGGGTGTTAACGGTATCGCAGGTTGCCCATAGTAAACGTCATCACTTTTTTTATTGTCTTTTTTATGCCCACCACAACCCCAAGACATGCAAATTCAGATTGAAGGAAATGAAGCCCTGGGGAAGAGAAGTTCATGTCCTCTGAATGCTACCTCTATGATGTGGGCAGCAAGGCCAAGAATCAAGCGCCTTATGGGACCGTAATCCAACCGCCAAGCTCGCGAACCACTGGAGAACAATGGAGCAGTGGAGAGGCTGATAGTTGCGTGTGTGTGACTCGCCAGCCTCGAATTTGCCGCCTTCCTGATGCATGTGTAGCGCCCACCATGCCATCGCTTCAACACTGTCCATCTTCTCGTTCGCCTACCGTCCGTCATGTCTCAGTCAACGACACCTCCCCAGTTCCGAACGTTCATGATCAGCGATGACTTTGTCGCCGCTTTCAGACCCTATCAAAGACGATGACAAAGCCAACCGGCAGTCGACGTTGCACGGCCTTATCGCAGAAGATGCTGTTAAACCCGGTGGCGGGAAACCCGAAAATGCGCTGAGTGTTCATCGTGGGCCGATACGAGTGCCCTCCCCGGACCCGTCTGTGTTGTCAATGGATGATTCGAATAACATTCGCTATGCAAGGACTTTGAATTTCGAACCTTTGAGACAGGGGGGATTCCAGACTTTGCAGCATCGGGCCAAGGTGCGGACCTGGAGAGAAAGTGTCCATGGGTTTTGGCTAGCGAACAAGGGTCTGGCTCTTGTTTTGATATCACAGTTCTTTGGGACGCTGATGAATGTTACTGCGCGTATGCTGGAGATGGAGGGAAATAATGGTATGGGCAAAAGATCAGCCCGATGGAGAACACTTCATGTCTAACGATATCTATAGGCAAGGGCTACCATCCCTTTCAGATTCTCTTTGCTCGAATGAGCATCACCTCGATAGCCTCTTCATACTACATGTGGTACAAAAAGACGGAACACTTTCCCTTTGGCATGAGAGAAGTACGCTCGCTCCTTGTCGCTCGAGGTCTCCTTGGATTCTTTGGTGTCTTTGGGATGTACTGTAAGTCTGCCGCCATGGTGACTGTTTCACTGCACATAAACACCCTGAACAGAATCAAAAATCAAATGAGGTTCCGTCAGAACATTTTTACACTGCTACATAATCACCCCCCAATCTAACCCGTCCCAGACTCCCTCCTCTACCTCCCCCTCGCAGACGCAACCGTAATAACCTTCCTGGCCCCCTCGCTCGCCTGCTGGGCATGTTCCTACCTCATCGCCGAACCCTTTACCCGCATGGAGCAAATCGCCGCCTACATCTCCCTCTTCGGCGTCATCCTCATCGCCCGCCCCTTCTCCTTCTTCACCGCAATCTCCCACCCCATACCCTCCGCCAGCGAAGACGCCACCTCCCCCTCAAACACGACTGCAGTTCCACCCGACAGACTTGCAGCAGACTACGACGCCGTGACGCCCATGCAGCGCGCTACCGCAGTCGGCATAGCCATGCTCGGTGTTGTTGGGGCTGCTGGGGCATACACGACGATTCGCTGGATAGGCAAGAGGGCGCATCCGCTCATCTCGGTCAACTATTTTGCAGTGTGGTGTACACTCGTTAGTATCGTTGCCATGCTCAGTCTTCCAGGCGTGGGCTTCTTGCTCCCCCGCTCGCTGAAGGATTGGTGTTATCTCGTGTTTCTGGGTCTGTGTGGCTTCATCATGGTACGTTGATCTTTTTCTTGGGTTTCTCTTCTTCCTTTTTTGCTGTCTCGACTAGCCAATGGGAGATAGTGCGTCAAACAGCACAACGTATTTGATATGAACTACGCCCACTAACACACCACCCCCTTTCTTTTCCAGCAATTCCTCCTAGCCGCAGGCCTCCAGTACGAAAAATCCTCCCGTGCAACAAATATGGTGTACATGCAGATGCTCTTCGCCCTCACCTTTGACAAACTCATCTGGGGCACGACACCAGGTACGCTTTCCATCATCGGGTCCTCGCTGATCCTCGGGTCGGCAATCTACGTCGCTATGAATAAGGAGCAGCCGCGGGAGAAGGCGGAGGCGAGGCGTCGCGGGGATGCAGGTGGAGATGGGGATGAGGAAGTGGGGTTGATAGGTGGAGAAGAAGAAGAGGAGGAGGAGGGTGAGGAAATTGGCATGAGGCCGTTGACGTGATAGAGGAGGTGTTGGATATGTGTAGTTGGGCAACAGACGTGGTAGTCATAGAATATACAGTAGACAGCATCAACAAGATCATCGCAGTTCCTGGCTTCTATCGAGATGTAATCTTTGAGTACATCAACACAACCCCATGCATACATGCATTTACAACCAACACATCCAGCTAGTCGCATTGCATCGCATCAGAACATGAATATCATATCGAGTACCATGCATCGCACTTTGTCATCCCCTATGCCTCTGTACTCCGCCTATGCTCAGATCAAGTCAGACAGAACCATACCGACCACCATCTCACTATCCATCATATCCTCCACAGAAACTCCCCTCTGATTGATAACTCATCAATAATGCAGTGCTGTATATCTCCTCCAAGACAAAAGAATGCCTGACCAAGAGTGAAAAAAGAGTGTGAGAAAGAGAAATGGCCCCACAACACCCCCCATCCTATCTAACTGCACAAAAGCCTTCCTGCCACTGTCCTCTGTGGGTAGGGGAAGTTACTGAGCAAAAATAAAGACCAGATTGATTCATCTACCAGTCACGTATGAACACCAGACCAGAGCAATATCTTTGAAAACAGCCCATGTGGTGCGGAAGAAGGGAGAACCAGTGCTACTATTTCTTTTCTCTACATATTTCTGTACGTCGTTTTGTAAGTGTAGATACTTTATTGGAGGAGGAACTGGTCAACGTCCTCACCCTCAGACTCTCACTGTCTATCTATTCGTTAGCAAGCCAGTAGACAAGCAAGCAAGTCGTCACGAAGCCATAACCCAACAACCACGCACCACAGCAATCCGCTTGCACAACCTTATTTGCAGCACGAGACACAAGGCATCGCTATAACACCCACACGAGTAATAAGAGCCCGAAATATCTAAGCCTTTCCTTGCAACAGTATCGTAATTTTCTCTCTCTCCATCCCCCAAATTTTGCACATCAGAACCATATCCAGGCCGAGAAAGTTGAATCATGCCGTTGCATCCTGACCGTCCGGGACTCAAGTGCCATGTGTATTGCAATGGCTGGGCACTGGAAGAGTACGATGCGCCGGCGCATGACGCGGTGAAACCGTTGACGGTGGTCAAGTACATTGTTGCCCAAGAAGAGGTGGAGTACCTTGCTCACGTTGAATTCGTCGAGCCGTTCCCTCATAATACGGCCGTTACGGTTCGGACCTACGTTGACGGAAAGCCTTACTCGGGGACCGTGATAAACAAACCGGCGGGAAAATCGCTTTCTGCTCTCGGATTTGAGTGGTTTAACGGTGTTGTTTGGAAGTTACGGAGGTTCAGGTTCGCCAGAACATCTATTGCAGAAAACGGACCAAGGCACTTGTCACCCACTCTTCGCAAGCAACTAAATTCTGCCGGGACCATAAGAGTAAAGCTATCCTGGTTCAAGAAAACGGGAGAGTCCTCACCATCGTCCAAGGATGGGACGTTTGATCTCATGGGAGATTTACCCAAGAAGGCTATCCTCGAAGATTATAAAAGTCATCAAACTCTCCTGGGGGAACCTGAGAGGTCGACTAAAGGATGTAACTGCGTTTACCACGGTCATTCTTTCAAATGTGCAGTATTTGAGTTTAGATATCGCTCCCATTCCCAGATCTTGGCTCTTGTCGGAAATATTCAAGAACAACAATCTCGGCCTGGGTGGGTAAGTCGAGGCTTTGGCTCAACGTATCCCTGGCCGAAGTGCTAACAGTCTCTTAGGAGCTTGATCGAACTCAGCCTAACCTCACGCAAGCGCCCATCGTCAAGCAGGAGCCCAGGATCAAGCAAGAACCCATCGTCAAAGAAGAGCCAAGCGGAGATCTTGTAATCGACCTAGTCTCAGAAGATAAAGCGACAGAAGACCAGAATCCAAATGACAAAATCTTGGTGATTATCTCGTCAGATGAAGAGTCTAGTAGCGGCGAGGAAACCAACCTGAGCCAAGTGAAAGGGGCGAAGAAGAGCATCGTAGTGAAGCAGGAGCGGAGCAAGGACGTAGAGGAGGGTGACGATACCCGAGGGCGCCGGAGAAGCAAGCGGCTGGCGGCTGGAAATGCAGTTCAGACGTATTCCCAGACCCATCCATTATGCAAGACTGAATATGCGGTAGACACCTCGATCGAGACCCGTGGAGCTCATCTGGTCATGTCCAGTGTATACATGTCTTTGATGTTCCAAATGGTGTTCATTTCGCTCTTGTGATTTGTACTGCACGCGATACAGTGTTCTTTCTTCATGCGACCCTCAATTAGTGCCTGAGCAGGTAAAGTGGTGTCTCCGCCAGAAATAATTTCGCCATGTAATTGACTCCCATCGATCATGATCAGTCATTATATTTACCTTGCGGTGTTTCTGAAGCGACGGCGTAGCTCTGTCCAGTTGATTTCTGTTTGGGTAACTTTCGCAGCAACGTAGCATTTCCAGCTCCTAGTTTACCGCCTGCCTGAGTGCTTTCCATGATGATAGCAACACGCCCATGCAAGTCGCTCAGCAGGGGGTACTCACAATCCTCCTCGGACCATATACCTGGTTTTCCATGGGAGGGATCGATGACTCCGGTGTCGACGACCCGGTGGAGTATCAAGCGTTGACCGTCGGGCAACAAGCACCATGAATCGCCAAGGGCGTTTTGGATGGTGTGAATATCTTCCAGCGGGCTTGTATTCAAGTCGATGTAGCGGTCGTTGTTGGTGATTTTGGGCGCATGATCTAGGGGCCCGTTGGAGCTTCCGTACCAGCCCGCATCTTCCCATGGAGGCATATACTTGCGCGATCTGAGAAGCTGCACAAGCATGTCTGCCCCTGTTTTCGCCAATTGTGCTTCCAGCTCACGAGCTGTTGTGCCCGCTGGAACTTGAATTCCAGGAGAAGGTGTCTGTGCCAGCACGAGGCCCTGATCAAAATGCTCCGGATGCAGTGTCTGGACCGACACACCGGTGTATTCTCGTCTTCTTAGTATGGTATGCTGAATAGGCGCGGGACCTTTCAAGTCGGGAAGGAGGGAGGGGTGAAGATTCAGACCGCCAAACTTCGCCGAGGATAGGAGTCGCGATGGAACAAGCAGACCAAAAGATACGGCTATGATGAGGTTGATGGGTGTGGGAGGTGCCCAGCCCGTGAACGTGTCAAGCGCGTAGGTGGGAAGCTTGAGCTCTTCTTCTGCCACCTTTTGGATGGGGACTGGATATGAATCAGTTGGCGTTGCTTGCCTTTTTTTGGAGGTCAAATGACTTACCTTGTCTCAATTGCTTCAGACCACGACCTGTGGGCTTGGCTGGCCGGTGAACGACATTGAGACTTCCAATGAGCTCTGGTGCATCGCGGTGCACTGCAGTAAGAGCGCGTAAAGAGGCGATGCTGAACTCGTCCGAACCGCAGAAGAGTACCTTCAAGGCATCCGAAACGTTGGATGGAGAGGCGGTAGAACTGAACCTGTGTTGTGAAGACGGTGCCAGCAAGCGGTTAGAGACTGGCAGCCTCCAAGGCATGGTGTGGTGGAGTTTTGGGGAGGGGGAGGGAGCTTTGAAGAAATGTCAAGCGTCGTCCATTAGGTAGGTACAGTAGATAGGGATGGATGGATGGATGGATGGATGGATGGATGGATGGATGGAGGGATGGATGGATGGATGGATGGATGGAGGGGGTGGGGCAACAGTCCTCGAACCCCCCTCGGTGAAGCGGCGACATTGATTTGGAGTCTAGATGGCTCGCACCGTTTCAAATCGTCCAGAGTGTCGGGTTGCTGATCATCGAGTAGAAACTTACAAGTGTCAGTCATCGCGGTGCTTTACGGCACGTACGTGCTTTTGTTACCTACGGTACTGGTACAAGGAAGCAGGTCAACTGGCTATAGGAAAAATGGGTCCGTCTATAGACTAACGCAGGTTAGGAGGGCCAAGCTAGGTCTTAGTTCTACTAAGCAAGGCTAAGCGAGAACACGTTAGAAACGCGTTTCTAACATGTTTTTATATCCTTACCCTTACTATTTATAACTATAGTTTCTAAAACCCTCTCCTTTAATATAAGTATCTCTAAAATATATTTTAAACGTGTTACTAATATATTCTAGCTAGCTTACTACTAGTATATTAGCAAGTAAAGCGCCCTTTATAGCCTCTAGCTATTTAAGTATAACTATAATAAAAACCTTATTATTAATATTAGTAAGATCTTTTATTATTTTGCTATAAGTACTAGTATCTATAACGTACCTATAACAATAAGGCAGAATTGCCTGCCTATTGTCCTATGCCAAGTTAGGCCTAATAAAGGCCTAACTTACTAATGTATATAGAGAATAGCTTGCCTATAGTTAGGATAGGTATATTCTTCTTATCCTTTTATACAAGACCTATAGGTGTAGGAACCTTATTCTTTTCTATATAGACGCGCACTCCTATATACCTTTAAGTTATATAGGATACCTTTTAGATACCCTACCTACCTAAGTTATTATATTATAAGAAGAATATTATCCTAGCTAGTAATAGCATTTAAGAATATCGCACTTATTGTTATTTTAAGCTACTAATTTAGTTCTAGTAGCTATCTAACCCTGTAACTCTATAGTTAGAATAGCTATTAGAACTTCTAATAACTAAAGCCTATAGGCTTAGACTTCTAGACCTATAGGTAGTGCTAGATTACCTTTAGAAAAATCGCGTTAGATTACGTTAAGGCAGAGACCTAGAGACTACTAAAAGCCTAGAGGAATTAGAGGCAAAGCTAATATCCTCCTACAACTAAACCCCCTAAAAAGAAAAGATTTATTATTCTTATTAACTATAAAATATTAGACAAAGGTAAAGGAAGGGTATCTAGTTTAGCTACTTTTAAAAGCCTATTTACTAATAGAAAGAAATTAGATAAGGAAGACTTAATTAACAACGCCCTCCTAGAAGGACCTACTTCCTATCTATCCCTTAAGGTACCTTATGCTCCTAGGAAATCTTAAAGCAACACCTCCCTTAAAGATAAATATATATTAACCCTATCTAAAAAGGAGAGGTTAGAGGAATAAGTTAAGTAACTTACTAATTAGTTATACAACACCTCTCTCTATAAGGAGATATAGGGTACTACCTAACCTAGCTAGTCTTTAGCTTCTATATTAAACCCTATAGTATATACTATAAAAGCTAAGAGATAATCTAAAAAGACGCTAAATATCTCTATACTTAGTAATAGTGCTAATCCTACTTTTAGATAATATTAAGCATCTATTTAAGATAGGCTAGAGATTAACGCTAATTACTACCCCTCTTCTAGAGCTTAGATAGCGTTAGTCTAGGGACACTGCTTAGGACTAGCAAGAGAATACTTAGAGCCACGTTACCTATCTAATTCCCTAAGTCTTTAATTCTAAAAAGCTAAGGAAATAATTACCCTCCTTTAAACTTACTTTATTACTAGAAATAAGATAGCTAAGAGTTAGACTATATTTAACTGCCTATATATAACTAATATAGAGACGTTCCCTACTTTTAAGTTATAATTCTAGAGTCTTGCTATTAGAGGAGAAGTACTATAATTAGAGTAGTATTACTACCTCTAGATAAAGATTACACCTTCCCTAAGGATGCTAAACCTTGCTTTCTAATAGAATTAGCACAATAATTTTAAGACTATAGTAGATTATCTTACTACTTTTAATATAGAACGCCGCCTATACCCTACCTTATCTACTCCTACCTAGACTACTCTATTATCTAGAAAAGGACTAACCCCCTTCTAACACCCTAGAAACTAGTCCTATTTAGACGCTAATTAGAAACCCTATAATAGACCTTTAATAGCTAAACCTTATATGCCCTACTTGCAATAATAAGGCACTACCCCTTAAAATAATTAACCCCTATCTACTACGCTAGCCACTCCTAGCGCTACTATAATAGGAACCCTAGTAACTTGCTATAATTATAGAAAGCCTAGGCACTTCTCTAGTAACTACCCTAAACCCCCTAGGATTTAGGCTATAGATATAGAATAGGTTATTAAGAATTATAAGGAAGAAGATACTGCTAAATTAACCAATTTAGATAGCTATTAGATAGGAAATAACAACGCCTAGGAGGATCCTCCTTCCTAGGCCTAACTTAATATAACCTATTAAACCTTTCCTTAACTAAATTATTTATTTATTCCTATTTACTTGCATGTATAACCCTATACCTTAATAGATCTAGTGTTCGCCTAAACGCTTTAGTAGATACTAGGGCCTAAGGTTATTTATTCCTTAATTTAAAAATTACTTATAATATCTCTTCTATACTTAGGGTACCTATTTAAAAGCTACTATACAAGCTTACTATTAAACAGTTCTAGGATTAGATTTCCTTACTAGTTGCCTACTATATTTAGCTTTATATAATAGTTAGTGGCTAAAAGGTTTATAACTGCCCCTTTATAATAGTAGACTTAGGTTCTTAGGATTGTATTATTAGATAACACTAGCTAAAATAGTTCTAAATCCTAATTAATATAGATAAGTCTTAACTAATCTAGCTAGAGAAATATCCTCTAACCTACGACCCCGCACCTCCTATTCTAGTACAACTCTACTAGCAAGGGCTATCTACTCTAGTTACCTATAATATCTTATAAAGAGACGCCCTTTAGGATTAAGAGGAGAACTAGAACTAAAATAGTCCTAGTTTAATTAATAGGATATATAGTATACTTAAAATTCTAGCTACTTATAGGGCTGCTACTAAACCTATTACACTACCTACCCTAGTCTAATTGCTAACTATTACCCTACCTATAAAATTTTTAATTACTACTATTTCTGCTAATACTTTCTATTTTAATATAAAAAAATCTTCTAATAAATTCTTTACTACTAGCCTATATAAGATTAAGCGTAGGATCCAAACCCTATCTAAATAGGATACTCTTAACTATAGCTTGTTAGATTAGAAGCTCCTATCTAACTATAACTCCTATTAGGACGTCTTTAATAAGGCTAAGGCTAATAAACTTCTAATCTACTAGCCTTATAACTATAAGATAGTCCTAGAGGAACCCCTTCTAAACTACTAGAGTCCCCTCTACTATTAAAATACTAAGGAACTCTAGGCTACTAAGGAATATATACAAGAGCACCTATAGAAAGGTTTTATTAAGACTAGTTAGAGCCTATTCGCCTCTCCTATCCTGTGTGTTAAGAAGCTAAATAGAGGCCTTAGGATCTATATAGATTACTGTAAGCTTAATAGCTTAACGCAAAAGGACGCGTATCTAATACCCTGCATAGACAATCTATTATCCTAGCTAGCTAAAGTAAAAATCTTTACTAAGCTAGACATTTGTGCTACCTTTAATAAGATCTAAATAGCCCCTAACTTAGAGGAGTACACTACTTTCCGCACTAGATATAGTGCCTATAAATACAAAGTCCTACTATTTAGGCTATATAATAGACCTGTAACCTATTAGCGCTATATAAATAATATACTAATAGGTTATTTAGACAACTTCTATATTGCCTATCTAGATAATATCCTTATCTACTCTAAAAACCTTGCTACTTATAAGGACTATGTTTAAAAAGTCCTTAAGCGTCTTTGTTCTACTAGATTATAGGCTAATATTAAGAAAAGCGAATTCTATACAACCTATACCTATTACCTTAGATATATCCTAACTAATAAAGGCTTAGAGGTAGACCCTAACAAAGTTAAAGTACTCTAAAACTAGTCTACTCCTAAGATAATAACTAGAGTAAAGTCCTTCCTAGGATTTACTAGATTCTACTAGCAATTTGTGGAAAACTTCTCTAAGATAGCTAAGCCCTTAACTACTCTCTAGAGTCCTGCTACCCTATTTATATGGACTTTAGAATGCTAACAAGCCTTTAACTAGCTTAGAAATGCCCTGCTAGCAATCCTAAGCTTAGCTTACTTCTATCCTAAGTACTCTCTAAAACTAGAGACAGACGCCTCTAATAGAGTTATTGCAGCTGTCCTCTTATAGGAGCATCCTAATAGGAAATAGTACCCTATATCCTTCTTTAGTTAGACCCTTACTAGTTCTAAACTTAACTAGGAAATCTATAACAAAGAATTATTTGTAATAATCTGCGCCTTTAAGAAATAGCGTGCTAACCTAATAAGTACTTAGTACCTTATTAGAGTATACACGGACTATAGAGCACTAGAGTACTTTATATCTACTAAAGTCCTTAGTGCTAGGCAAGCTAGATAGCTAGAGGTTATAAGTCCCTTTAACTTCTAAATTAAGTATACTCCTAGATCTTATAACGCCTAAGCTAATATCCTAAGTAGAAGGGAATAGGATATGTTTAACCTTAAGACTACTTAAAGGGATAATTGCTTATAAGTAATAATTGCCCTAGATAGGTTATACCCCTAAATTAACTCTAACTTAGCGCAAGACTACCTAGCTAAGCGTTCCTTACTAATTATTGCTTTAATTATAGCAGGTTAGAACCCTATAACTCTTAGATCCCTAGAACTTATTAAAACTC